ATTATATTGTTTCATACTTTAATATTTTTTTATGTTTAATTTGATGTCGCTAACAATATAATTGTAAATAAAAGTTGCCCTTCCAGAATGACCTTTGAAAGAGAAGTCAACAGGGCTCCGTTTCAGACATTCCAGGCATCTTCAGAGACATGAAGGCATTCTGGGTCGGGCCAGGTCTCAGCGCAGACATAAGGTGTTTGTTAGTTATGGATAGCAGGTGTACGGGCTGTCGTCAGCAGGTGCCTGCAGGCCGAGTTAGGCCAGGTGATGGAATCCGGTCTGGAGATAGACCAGGCCACTGGAGAAAGGCTTAGAGCAGAGCTCTGAGACGGACTGAGATTAGCGAGGGATTTCCGTGTATCACTGAAGTATTATGGAGTGGTACAGTGGTCTTATTAGGACTGGCTGGAGATAAGGATGTGTATGGTTTCCATGCAAGATCTTGTAAATGTCTGTGCCAGGTCGGAACGGGCTGTCAGTAAATTGAGACCTGCTCTGAAAAAGAGTTAATGTTAGAAGAACAAGATGGGACATATTTCAGCCTGACTCAGAGCACAATAATTATAATAATACATGTACACTATTTATGTGTGAATGTATATATTTGGCCACACACCAAACAAATTCAATCTTCCATGGACTGAAAATTATTTTCCTGAAGATTCACATAGAAAGTGACAGCAAAATACCAAAGTGTACTAACACAAATGTGAGTGTGCACACAAAAAAAGAAAACGAAGAGCAAACGTTTCAGTCCAATCTTCAGAGCTAAATGCTTTAACATTAGTCAACAACATTTATACATGTCAAGGCACCAGAATGATTACCTAAATCAGCTGTGAAGTTTATTAATTATTCAATGACTGGTTAATTAACAATTACCACCCACATAGATAGAGTAGACTTACAAACATGATCCAGCAGCATCAAAAACCCATGACAAAAGTACAGTATATGGAAATATTTGTATTGGAGCAGAACTTGTTCATATTTTTTGCCAGTTGGCAATATCATTTCTTACAATTTATTTATTTTATTTATTATTCAGTCTTCAGTTTATATCATAACTTTCCTTTGTTTTACAACTTTCAACAACTTTACAACTTTGTTTTGAAATCATCGAAATATCGTGATATGCATAACGCAACGGCTTGCGATAGCTGCATGATTTTAATACTCCAAAAGATTACAAAAAGCCCCGTTTTTTTCGACTAAACAGTTGAGAAAGAAAGTGTGCATGTAACAGTATATTGGATCTGTGCAGTTCTTAAAGCGACAGCAGCCTAATAAACCTGCTTCCGTCTGTGTGCTTAATGTTAATCAAACAACGAACGACGAAGACAAGATCACTCACTGCCCTTGACTGAATAACTTGTGTAGCTTTAATAAGAATCAGTATATATTTAATTAATTCAGTGTAGACTAAGCAGTGTTTTATATTTACTTTTGATTATTCAATTTTAACTGTTGGTCTACCTGAAACCCTAAACCCCTTTAGTTTACACTGATGTTAAAATTACACTTTACAGTTAGTCATCAACGTTTTTTTTCTTTAAGACTGGTCCTAAGTTACAAAAGAAGGTAGATTGGTCTAATTTGAATCAGAAAATAACATAGTGGCTAAGCTTATGCAACTGGCCACAGTTTTTTTCAATGTGATTTCAGACCGTTGTATATTTTCTGCTGTTTTACTGTAAGCTTTACTAATGTTCTAAAAGCAGTGGATCCATGTTTGTCTAACTTATTCAAAATGTGGGATGTCAGCTTGCTTAAATTTGTTATTTCACTCTTATCAGTCTTCCTGTTTACAGTGGTTGATCATTTGTGTTTAGAGTGCGTTTAGATATGCTGAGACCTGTAGCGAGAAAAAAACAAGAGCTTTTCAGTGTTTATGTGCTTTACAGCTCCACATCCACAGCTGGAATAACATCTTTTATCAAGAAGTCAAATCAAACAGAAGCACTAGTCATGCTTAACGTCTCATGTCACTTATTAAGGAGAAAACTTCCTGTTCACATAATGAAAGTATGAGGCTGATCATTGTTACCATGTAAACAGTCACAGAAAAAAATTGAATGGAACGGACCAATGCATTATGTCTTTCCCCATGCTCTTAGTGTGTTGCTAGGGTGCTTTTTGTGAGTTATAATGCCATTGCTAAATATGAGCAATATTAATAATAATGTTTGCCTTCGCAAACACCACCAATACAAGACATGTGATCTTCAGGTGCAGGACACCTGTTAAACTATAAACTCAGTTAGTTAAGGCTCAGCACCTTTTTCATGAATACTTTATCAATGACAGGTCGAGGTCATTGATAAATGTGAAAGTGACATTGGGAAACCTGATGTGCTCCGTCAGCATTAAGACGAGCAATTAAATGGAGCGAGCAAATTTAACACAAATGCCAGATGGTTGAAAAGAACACATATATTCAGCTGTCAAAACAAATGGTAAGAGCCGATGGCTTCCAGACCATGTCAAATTCCTCACTTTCATCTGAATCAAATTTTGCAAGACACGCTTGAACTCTGAGAATTCATAAATAGTTGCACTTGGAATGACACAAGTGCAATCTGACCCGTGTTGCCTTGACTTTATTTATTTACAACATTTGTCCTCAACCAGTGAGAAACAATGTTTGTGGGTTCCAAGTCACAGGCTTACCCGTGGTAAAATCACTGTAACGAACGGCCTCTTTTGGCTTATTGCCTTGCAACACCGTATCCCACAATGCAATATGCTTGACTTGACCTTCCAAGTGTGGTGTGATGAATGATCTGGTAATATCAGCCTTGAAATCTTCTTAACTTATTATTTGAGTATTATTTTGATTGACTACATTTTACAGACACACAAAAAAGCCAAATTACCTTTAATTAATACACAATATTTATTGATTTAAAGAAATAACATGACAGTATATGAAGCTAAAAAATACACCAAGCCTAGATCAAGATGTTAGGTCTGGGAACTCACAATTGGCATACCTCAATCCGAGGGGCGGGATAAACGGTTGTCTTTCAATATCCCTCGGCACGCAATAGGATAGCGCTACAACCAACCAGAGCAACGAACAGCTGTGGCTGAGTGAGTTTTTCCACCAGCGGAGCAAGTTGGTATATTAAACTTTTGCCGTATCCGGTCGTCAAAAGTAACTCTGAACACATCTTCCTTTTTTAGGAATGACTTAAGTGACGTTCTCTTAACTCCAAGTCCTCCAGAGTCGCGGGCAAAGCCGATTCGAAAGACCGCTGTTCGCCAGCAGCATCTTTGTTTTCAAGCAGAGGGAAATCACCTATGGAAATAACGCGGAACCGTCATAACTCTGCCGTCATATGTTAAGCCCGCCCACCAACTCTACACGATCTGATTGGCCGGACCAGTTTTTGTTTTTTCCAGCTCAAAAGTCTATGGAGAGTTGCTAGACCACACTTTGCTGCAAAATAATTTTTGCTGCCGCTAGGGTGCGTCTAGATTTCTAGGCTACACCAAGCCATGATTTGTGGAAAGAGTGAATTGATTCATAAATGTGTGTGCTCATTTCTACTGAGAAATGGGTCTGATTTCTGTTTGCTTTGTCTGTTGTATGGACTCATTAGTCATATTTGAATTGGAATGGTTTAGTCACTGACTGACTATAGACAGCTGTGTGTGCTTTTAGACAGCTGTGGAGAAGGCATCCTGTTTGTGTGTTCCTCGGGTCCATTTCTGCCTGGAAACAGTTTTTCTTAATGCTCTAGTAGAAGCAGAGCCAGAAATGATGGTCCGCCATCCTGTTTGTGAAGCACAGAGCTCATTTGTTCATGGGCGGCGGGATATTAGTTGCGGCAGTGGTCTGAGCAGCAATCCTATTATAATGGACTTCAGCAGATTGTGAGTTCCGACAAAGCAAATCACCTTTAAACATCAGTGACTTTCCAATCCTGTTTATGAAATGGTTAGCGCTCTCGTTGCCTGTTTTGAAAACATGAAACAGTGATGTTTCAGTCTGTTTGTGACTGAGTGACGGTCTTATTTTAGTATGATACTATAGTATAAATGTTTTGAATGGGCTTTTATGCATTTTATTTTCATTTTAGTTTGTTTTAGTAAGTTTTTGTTTATATACATTTTTGTTCATTTAATTATTTATTTCAAAATTAAAAATGTAAATCTGCTTTAAATCTGTAATAGCACCACTCATTGACGTTTATTTCAGTTGTTGACCAATATAAATAAAGTCACTAATGTGCGTCATGTGAGAAATAAATCATTTGGGATCAGGAATGTCATTGGAAAAGGATTTTAAATTGCCCATTAGGTGTTTTAAATCAAATTAAATTAAATTAAGTGTCATTGTTACAAAATGATGAATCCAACTATTCGCCTTGGCAATTAACTGAAATAAATAAGATGAAGTACTAAAATTACTGAGCAACTAAAACAGAATAATAAAAAAAAAAATCTAAATAGAAATATTAAAATAAAAGCTTACTGATATACTGAAAACGTTAAAATAAAAACTAAATCAACATTTTAATAAAAATAAAGTAGTATGTTAATGATAATAAATTAAGATTGGGATGGAGTTGCATATAAACAGTGAATTTCCCGTGTCTGTTTTGTGTGTAAATTGCCAGTGTTTTGTGGCCGTATGTTTGAAATCAAAATTTACTTTCTTCATAATTCACAAAAATGTTCCTTATTGAGCACAATTCATCCGTGCATGCTTTTCCAAATGAAACCAAAATGTTTGTCTTGGTAACCTTTTATCCAAATAGAATCAGTTGCACCGCCAGTGGCATGACTTCTTCTTTAGTCTCTGTTTTTCAATCCGCCACTTTTCACAACCCCAACAATGATCAAATAAAGCCAGCCCTGCATTTTATTCTTGTTGAATGTCCAATTTTTTCCCTTGGAAATATGTCATATTACAGTAGTAAAATGTGTCAACATGTTATGTAGACTTTAAAGTCCCAGAATCTGTCCTGACGGTTGTGTTCTCTGTGTTGCAGGTATCCTCCTCCTGCGTTCCTGTTGCCAACTATGAACTGGTAAGAACTTCTGTGGTTGTTTTGATGACCCGTTTTTGATCGTTTCCTAGAACAGTCGCCTCTCGGAATCTGCTCTGTTAATCAGATTGATGATAAAGAGATATTTTAGCCTATTTTGGAGGCCAGGACGTATCATCCCACAAACATTAATATTTATAAGGAGGAAATAAAAGCTTGGGGTCTTCGGTTCAGATCTCTCCCAAGACCTAAATAAGCCAGGGGGAATAACAAAGCATGAGCGATAGCATAGTGAACATTCCTTTTTTGGTTTGAATTGTGTTTTTGGGCTCCAAAAAGATCTCTTTCCTCCTCCTCCTCCTCCTATGTACGCTCGCCTGCGCAAGGCAAGCCAGAATCCATCATTACTCTACCCGCGTTCTTGAAAAAGGTCTCTTGTTGTACACAGTGTCCTCAGTATGGAACAGATAGTTTTAGTTGGTTTGGGGGGGAAAGTTTGGCTTTCATGAGTTGGACAGGGTTTGCTTAATTCTCTTTCTCGTTCCCTCCATCACTTCTCAGATGAAGTATGGCATTGTAGAGCGAGCAGTGTGAATGCAGGTATGCAGGGTCGCTGTCGGCACACACACCATAAACACACACTTGAAATCAGACAAATGAGCTGAACTATAAAAGCTGATGTTCTGAAGACAAGTGTGAAAACTGAGAGGCTGGAGGACAAAGAAAACGATTCCTGAGACATGGACATTAATATCGTGTCATAATGTATACAAATATCATAATGTCATAGTAATACAAATATGTTGAATGCGATTAACGTTCAGTTCTTCCCTTTCCATTTTCTGTTTTCTTTTCTTGCTATCACAAAAATCAACACCATCAGATATTATCTGTACTGCCATATCAATAATGTATCAAAAATATTGACAAATTGAGAAAAGGGATTTCAAGCTAATTTTTAAATCATCATCACCGAAAATCTGATGGTGCTGACAAAAGATTTATATTGAACATCCTTTAAAGATGCATATATTTTCTACATTAAATTTAATATTATAATCTGTTAATATATTATATATAATGTTCAAATATAGAATAATTTTTTTAACCATCTTTAATTTAGTTTTTAATATTGAAGTATTATTCATAGAATTAACATACATGTAAAACAAATAAAAATATATATTGTTTAATTGTTATTTTAATTATTAATATTTTATATAAGTCATACAATTAGAGAGAGAGAGAGAGAGAGAGAGAGAGAGAATATAAATATGTATTATAAATATATGATTTTATGTATATTAGAATTAGGACAGGTTCAGGGCAGGGTGTTTTTTGTTAATAATGTGTTAATTTTAATAAAATAATAAACATAAGAATAGATAACACTTTAGTTTAGCGTCCGATTCTCACTATTAACTTGCTTATTAGCATGCATAATACTTATATATATATTGGTACTTATAAAGCACATGTTAATGGCTTATTCCGCATGACCATATTCTACATCTCTTAATCCACCCAATACCTAAACTTAACAACTATCTTACTAATTATTAATAAGCAGTGATTAGGAGTTTGAGGCAAACATTGTAGTTAATAGTGAGAATTGGACCCTAATTTAAAGTGTGACTGAATGTTACAGTGATCATCTTTAGATTAATATGTTGTGTGTTAATGTTGACTGGTAAAACTGAGAGGTGTTTTGTCTGAAGTGAGTGAGTGTTACAGCGGAGGCCTGTGGCAGCTGAACTTCACTAAAGTAGAACAAATAAACTGATCTTAAGGACAACAGTGGCTGTATTTATAAAGGAAACTCAGAGCAGCCGTCCACAAAGAACGTGCAAATGAAGAATCTGCTTATGTAAGGCTTAGACCTGCAGCATGAACATCTCAAACAGCAATATTTCCTCATTTATTTACCTAAAGTCTGTTGAGAAAAGCTTCGTAAATGTGTCCGCTGTCCCTCAACACACACACACACACACACACACACACACACACACACACACACACACACACACACACACACACACACACACACACACACACACACACACACACACACACACACACACTGCCTTCAGCAAGGACAGAGCTGCTGAACTCTCTGTGTTTACAATGACGCAGCTCAGTGAAGCCAAAAACAACCCTGTTTAATGGCTTTTCAGTGAATTCAGGAATATTTCTGTGGTCGGGCTGTATCTTGTAGACCTGCTTTCTCCTCGCTCCATGTTTGGTAAATTCTCCTCCACTAAATGAGTTGGCTGGCTGTCGGCTGGACCTGTGATCTGAGGCCGAATAACAACGATCAAATGTCAATATGAATGTACAATTTTGGATGAAAAGGTTCACTGTAGGTGTTAAAAAAACATAACTTCACATCATCAAGAGCTAATGTGCCAATCTAATGATTTTATCAATGATCTGGTGGTATTTTTGGCAAAAAGCAAGTTTCTTACATTTCAAGTAATTTGTTGTTTTATAATCATTGTGACATGATACGTATGAGCTGAGCTCTCTCGGCCACCGTACTTATGCTCATGAATACATATCATGTCACAATGATTATCATTGAGCTCAGCTCAACGCGCAGCAACTGAAGAAAACACATGCAAATAGAAAAAACAACCACAAATTAAGAAAACTTCTTCATCAGTTTCACTGGGTTCGTCACTTATTGGGGTCCTCTGAAAACATTTGCGTTGTGTTCTGTGCTATTTGCAGCGTGTTTCAGTATTTGGTTGTGTTGTGAGTATTTGGAGCACACAATAATTACATTCAAAGAATTAGAAGACTTTGCAGGATACTGTATATGTGCTGAATAGTTATTAATGCAAAAAATGTTTATTGTTTATTAATTATTATTATTATAGATTTTGGGTGAAATGTGACCTGCCAGTTTCATAAACGGCTAAGACTAGTCTTACAAGTTAGTCATACATTATTTTTTCTTTAAGACTTCATAACTTTTTCAAATCAGCCTGCTAGACATACTAGTTTTTAAGACACAGTCTTAACATAATGGCTTTGTTAATGCAACTGGCTGGTCATGTTTTTGTGAGATTCACTCATAAACTGACCCTGTCAGTACAAAAGTACAGAGATGCATTACGTTCCCTATCCAGGGTGATCTGCTGTGTTGTACTTGTTGATATGACACGAGTAGACGTCCAGACACGTACATTGCGTGGGCGTTATCTCGTGCTCTCTACATTGGTTGGATTTTGAAGACATGCTTCAGGCTTTCTCTCTCTCAGAGCTGTGGACAGTACCTTTCTCTAGAGCCATCTGGTCTGCGTCTGCTTCACCACAATGTGATATTGGCCATAATTGGCCATGAGAGGGTGAAACACATGCCGGGCCTCGGATGACATTAAGCAGACCCAGTCTTTCCAGGTCGTTCTGTGTATATTCTCAGTGCCCAGGCCCTTTAAGGCTCTCTGCTTCGCTTTCTCAGCCGCATACGATGCTTTATGCAGTGCTTGACATGTATGAGTCTGTTTTGTGGGGTCCTTCCCCTGTTGTGAGCGTTAACCCAGGGTCTGAGGTTTGCTTTTGGGACGTTTCTTGTCACAGGTTCTCACAGTTCAGAGTTGTTTAGCCGAATACCATCTTCGGAATTCTTTCCGTAGAACTCTCCCGGGATGGAAGGCAGGCACAGACCCTCCATTAGCATGATGTAAACACAGAGTGCCACTGAAATGCACAACGTCTTGTCTGTTTACATTTCCATCTCTGCTGCATTGTTCCGGAAAATGTGCAGGTGGCCACTAAAACCGTGAGAGAAAAGCAGCTGTCACTGATGTCATGTTCCTCACCTGCGCCGTAATGTCCATCACAACCCCCGGGTCAGATACACTGGAGACCTGGTCGACGTTCCCCTCCTAGTTGTCGATATTTTTTTTTCCAAAGGTTGTTGTTGTTTCAACCATGCCTGGACATTAACCAAACACATTTAAATCACACTGTAATTGACTCTGAGGTGCTGAACACAGGAATGAAACAACATGTCCTTTTTAGGTGTTCTATGCCGCACTTCGACAGATATCTCCAGATCTTTGAGCCGAACAGCTGCTTGCCTCCTCAAACAACTCATTTCCACAGTTTATGAACCAAAACAGAGTTATCAGATAATCCCATATGATGAGGGGTTGCAAGGGAATCGACATTCTTCTGATGACCTATCCAAGCCCTCAAGCCCCTAAAAAATGAGCAGTCATCCATTTCAGGACTTCTCCATTTAAAAGGGGTCATATTTATACTTTGTTTTTTTATTATTTTGATTAATTAGTTATTTTAAAACAATTAATACACATATTGATTAAAAATAGTTATTACATAGTATATTATTACATTTTATGATTTTTTTTTATGCAATATAATTTATAATTAAATAAAATTATAGTTATAAAATCCTTGTAAATTATAATACAATTTTAGAATATTAATAAAAATAATAATAATAATTTAGTCATTGTTTTTATTTTTTTATTTTTTTTATAATAGTCTAATTTTTTGTCTTAATTTTCATTGATCATTTTCTATCAAATCTCTGATTAAACTGCCATTATTTGCAGCATGTGCCTTTAAGGTTTTGTAGAATTCCATCAAATTATGACAGATTTATAGAACAATTGGCACAGCTTTTTAAAATGTGGAAACTGCAGAGCTGTAGGTGCTACACACAGCCAGAAAATGCACAGGTTTGACAGACTTTACCTGTATTCTTATTGTTAGTTGTTGTTGCTCTAGTTCCTCTGATCTTTATCTTAAAGGGATAGTTCACCCCAAAATGTAAATTTTGTCATCATTTACTCACTCTCATGCCATTCTGAAACTCTTCTTCTGTGTTCCCGTTAAAGAAAGCCGTTGAGTAAATGATGACAGAATTGTAATTTTTGGATGTCTATCCCTTTAAGTTTCTGAACACTCAGTAGGGGTTGTTGATGTGATAATGGTCGTGTTCACATTTGTCTGGCTGGCTTAAGGAACTTCTACATAATGAGCCTTTTTTGAAGCTTGAAGTTACAGTACAT